AGTGGGAGTTGCTTTATAAATCAGTCCCCAAAACATTTGGGGTGTGTGTGTGTGAAATCAGATATGGGGAACGGAGATGATTTGTGTTAGCAATATTTGTGGCATGGTGAATCCAAAGATAAAGCTAGTCCTCTTAGCTTAATGCTAGCAGCTATCTCAGTGTTTTTCCGAGTGCAAATTCTGAAATGCAGAACAGATGAGTTTTGCCTTGTGGTCGCACAGAATCCTCAGTGCTGCTGCTGAGGAGCTGATGGACAAGCCGTTCCGAGCCAGCAGAGTGCAAAATATTGGGAAGCCTCTATGAAAGTGAGCTCTTTTGGAATCTTTATTTTGGGGGCATTTGAGGATGAGGTGGCATCTAGGCATTTGGGAGGAATGCCTCAGGTATGCATACGGGCCCCGCCTGAAGCAGAAACAGGTGACTCCAAAGTTTCCTTCCACTAACTCTAATATGCTGTGGTCTGCTGTTTCTGAAACATGGTTGATCTTGCTAGTCGGCGATCATTTACTGCTGCTACAGAGGTACAGTTTTTCTTCTACAATTTTCTTTTTAAAAGGTTGGTGCTGCTATGCACCATTTTGTGTTGTTTGTTTGTTTATTGTATCTATATGCTGCCTGCCTGGAAGGAACTAAATACAGTATACCTCGCTTCCTCCCCCCCCCTTTATCTTCACAACAACCCTGTGAGGGTTTATTGAGGTGAGAGATAGTGACTGGTCCAAGTTACTCAGTGAGCTTTGTAACCAAGCAGATATTTGTATCGGAGTTCCCCCAGATTTCATCCAGTGCTATAACCAATAAACCATACTGGCAGATTTGTGTATCGTGGTTTCAGGTATGTATCTATGCCACAGGCTCAAACTGGATTAATAGTCATTCTAATCTGGGAAATTATTTTTGTCAGAGAAGCTTACCATCTGCAAACAGAGCATTGTTCTCGGTACCTTCACCAAATTACAATGCCTAGGATTTCTGGGAAGCCATGCCAGTTAAACAGGTACCATACCAGGTTAAGTTAGTGGTGTGGATGCATCTGGTGACAGGATAGTAGGAATCTGTTGGAATGTTTATGGAGGGCACCAAGTTTGCAGAGAATGAACAAGACTTGCCTGTTTAAAAGCTCTCTTTTGACAAAGTTGAGCTCAGAAACAGGCTGGAAAAGTTTCTGTCGTTTGGAGCAAATTTGTTCTTCTGCTGAACGGAACACAAACCTTTTGTTCTTTTATTATTGAATTTCTAACACACCTATCACAATACTATTTAAAACTGCAACGTTAAAAACATTAAAAAACCAATTAGTGACAATTTGCATTACAAGTATCACTCATTCATCAGCCAAGATCATCAGTTGCATCAATTTTATATGTTTGCTCCGGGGTTCTTAATACTCTGTAACTGGTGGCATCAAATTCCATAAGTTCATTTTGTGAACAACTGTGGTCTGTCCTGAATCTCTTCCAAGGGAGATGTGGAGAGTGACAAGACAAGAACGGGCTTTCTCTGCAGTGGCTCCCTGTTTGTGGAATGCTCTCTCTGAGGAGGTTCGCCTGGCGCCTTCATTATATACCTTTAGGCGCCAGGCAAAAATGATCCTTTTTAAGCAAGCCTTGGGCTGATTGATATCCAAAGCCCTTTTAAAATGCGTTGGAAGGGGGAAGGTTATTGGGTAGTTTTTGTTTTGATTATGTATTTTGTGGTTTCCTATAGTGATTTTATGTTGTAACTGCCCTGAGATGTGGGAGTATAGGGTGGTGTACTACTACTACTACTACTACTTATTATTACACTGGGTGATCTTGCGTTCTAATAGAATGAGAGGAAGAGAACTCCTCTTTGTCCTCATTCTCCATGCTATGCGTACTCCTAAAAATCTCTGCAATTTAGTTCTCTTCCCCACCTCCTAAAATGGAAATCTCCAAAGGACCTAGCCCACGGTGAGTCAATATAGTGCCCCAAAGATATTGTTGAACCCCAACTCCAATCAGCCCCAGCCAGGAAGGCCAATGCTCTGGGATGGTGGGAGTCGTACTCAGTAGTGGAGGGGCAAGTTCAAAAGTGCAGGGTCCATTTATGACAGTCACAGCCATCTCCCTTCTAAGATGATGCAACTTTCTGAGTTTATACAACCATTAGGAATGCATTGCAGAGATCATTGCAGACCTCCATGTATTGCCTTGGAGTTAGATCTACTGTTTTCTGTGCATTGCAAGTGATGTGGAGTGCCCCAATATCGCTTTTTGGAACGACTTAGTTGTATTTTCTGTGAAGCACCATTGTAGCTAACAGTGCTTGCAAACCATTCTCTTGAAACGGAAGCGCTTTGTGCTTTCAGCTTCCTCCAAATGCTTTGGAACAGGCAGTGGATAAAAAGGCTCCTTTCCCATGCTCTAAGACACTCACAGGGACCCTGCTGCAGAAACGGTTGTGGGTGATTGACACCTCACAACCCTGAACCCTGGCAGCACTGACTGTTTTTCAACAACATATGGAGGCCACTGCTTTTACTGTTGACCTGGCCTCTCCTTGCCCTTTTTTTGTGTGCATTGTTCCTAGCTCAAAGATAATCTTTTTGAGATGGTTGCACATATTCCTGCTGACTGGTCCATGAATCACCTGTTTTTCTCGCCGCTCTTACGCCTTTTGGGAAGAAGCCATTAAATCAGGAGACAGTTTTGAGCACCGCACTCCTTTCCTTTTTTCTCATGCTACAGCTGATGAGCTAACCATAACTCATTTCCTGTGTCAATACAACCAGCTGATTAAGATGGTAATTAGCCACATGTCTGACACCGAGATCCGAGCTGTTCCCTCCTCCGCACCCTGCTATTTGGTAGACACACTTCCTAAATTGTCTTGTCAGTGCAATACTAGAGGTGAGCAGACTTGGCAGGGACTCTGGCCCAGTGTATGGCACGACAGAACACGGCGATGAGCAATCTGCTTGGGTCTGGAGAGGTTTTTCGCTGGAAAGCTATCAGTCAAGTCGCTTTGAGTCAGGAATGGAGAACCCATAGCCCTCCAGATGTTGTTGGACTGTGGGGCTTGGACTCAAGTGTAACTCATTGGTAGAGCATATGCATTGCGTGCAGAAGTTCCCACTTTCAGTCCCTGGCATCTCCAGCCAGGGCTCGCAGATACTCCTGCCTGAAACTCTGGAGAACCCCTGCCAGCCGGTGTAAATTCATCTCCCCCATCACTTTTGTTTAGGTGGATGAATAGGGCCCTCCAAAAGGACTGCACACAGGGGCCCTGCAGACCATAAATCTGCCACTGTGGTCCTAAGCTAAGTAGCTATTAGGGGGTAGCTTTGTCATCTGTGCCATCCCATACCCTCCAATATTTTTCCAATGAAAATAGGGATGTCCTGTTCCATCATCAACATCATCATTTGATTATTTATACAGTGGTACCTCTGGTTACGAACAGGATCCGTTCTGGAGGCCTGTTCGCAACATGAAAAGAGCACAACCCACAGTGGCGCGTCTGCGCACGCGTGGGTTGCAATTCGCTGCTTCTGTGCATGTGTGTGGCGTCATTTTGTGCACATGCGCGAGCGACAAAACCCGGAAGTAACCCTTTCCGGTACTTCTGGGTCGCCGCGGGACGTAACGTGAAAGAACGTAACATGAAGCGGACGTAACATGAGGTATGACTGTGCCCCACTCATCTGATTGTGTTGCCCCAGCCACTCTGGACGGCTTCCAACATATATAAAACTTTTAAAAACTTCCCTATACAGGGCCTTCAGATGGCTTCTAAAGGTTGTATAGTTTATTATCTCCTTGGCTCAGGGGTTGCATAACTCCATACCCACCAACGTTTCTCCAGTGAAAATAAGGACGTCCTAAAGAAAAGCAAGACGTTCTGGGATCAAATCAGAAATCGGGATGGCTTCTGTAAATCCAGGCCTGTCCCTGGAAAATAGGGACACTTGGAGGGTCTGCTTTACTGGGCTGGTGATTTGCACTCTATGAAACGTTCCACCTGATAATAGGCAGGCCGCCCATGATTTTGTAAAATCTTTACCTCCCTTTCCGTACGCCACAGCTTCCAGCGGAGGATTTTGATCTCACTGTTAATTGACTTTGACTGGGATATGTGCGTGTGTGAAATCCTAGAAAATGTAAATTGGGAGGTAGTGAATGCGACTATTGTGCTTTTCATCAGGGAAGCCAATGTGGTGCTCTTCAGAAGTTGTTGGGCTACATACAACTTTGTCATCCTTGGCTGTGATTGCCTGGGGATGATGGGAGTTGTAGTCCAACACCATCTGGAGGACACAACATTGGTTATCCCAATGTAAAGCATAATAATCAAGGGATTCATTTAAGCATGTGCAGACTGTCTTTCTTTTAGTGCGGAGGAGCCATAGGTAGCCCAGAATCATCTGGGATTAGGGGTGATGACTTTCCCATCAAAGGGTATATATCCCAAGCAAGACTGAGCTCTATCACCTACCCTTTATATACACCCCTACCCTTCTTTCCAGGTTTCTAAATTTCCTAGTGATTGTGGAAGGGAGATGGATAGGTTGGGATGATTGAACATTGCCTCTGTCTGCTATTCTGCAGTTCTTTGGCGTTTGTAGGAATAATTCTCTCTCACACACACATACAATCCTCTTTTCAGCTCCAACTCTTTCCCCAAACAATGTTTGTCGGTAAAACTTAACAGTTATGTGTACGATGATTTTCAGTTTTGCAGTTCAAAGAAATAGCCCCCAAACGAGACCATTCAGTGCCCCTCTCCTATATAGAACCTTAGCTCTGTAAAAATTCAGAGCTTGTTTTACAGCCGTGTTTGGGGGATTAAGTCCTAATAGCGAAAGCGGTTCCGAAACTGCAAATCTCATTTTTGTACCAAGAGTCGGACACTAGCAAATATTTACAGTACGTAGCCTCCGTTTTCGATGTGGGATGACGACTGGTGGGGTTAACTGGTATTAAATGGTTTGGGCTGTGGAGGAGAGCAGGTTCTCACTCTTCTTTCTCCCTTGCAGGAAGAATGCAAACAGATCCTGGCTTGGCAGAAATCCAACTCACAATCGGATTCCCACGATGACGAAATTTCTCCTCCGCCCCCAAACCCGGTGGTCAAGGCGCGGCACAGAAGGGGTGGAGTCAGTGCAGAGGTGTACACGGAAGAAGATGCGGTTTCTTATGTCAGGAAGGTAAAGATCTGCGGGATCCTGTTCTTGAGACCAGTGCTATAAATGGCTTATTGACGCACACACAGCAACATTCCCCCACCCCCAAGCTGCGTCAATAAGCTACCGTACCTATCCAGAAATCAAAAGTGATGCTGAGTTGGGAACAGACTAGAACTTCCCCATTAGCTGGATCTCCGGAGCCATGTTTTCTGCTCTGCCCATAGAACCATAGAGTTAGAAGGGATCCCAAGAGTTATCTAGTCCAACCCCCTGCAATGTATATGTAAATTCCTCACACTATGGCTAGCCATAGTGCAAAAGGGCTGCAGTCAGCTCCCCTCAGCTGGTGGGCAATACATTAATCCCTACTGGAATAGCTACACATGACTGAGTTCTCTGTGGGGAACGTGGGTCCCATTCACAGCACCCATTCAAATCACTCCTATAGCACTTTAACAGTCATGGCTTCCACATAAAGAATACTGGGAATTGTGGTTTGTTAAGAGAATTGTTAGGAGACCCTATTCCCCTCCACAGAGCTGAAGGGATGCAGGTGGCACTGTGGTCTAAACCACTGAGCCTCTTGGGCTTGCCGATCAGAAGGTCAGTGGTTCAAATCCCCCCAACGGGGAGAGCTGCCATAGCTGTCCCAGCTTCTGCCAACCTATCAGTTCGAAAGCACGCCAGTGCAAGTAGATAAATAGGTACCGCTGTGGCGGGAAGGTAAACAATGCTTCTGTGCGCTCTGGTTTCCATCACTGTATGCCATTGCGCCAGAGGTGGTTTAGTCATTCTGGCCACATGACCCGGAAAGTTTTCTATGGACAAACGCTGGCTCCCTTGGCCTGAAAGCGAGATGAGTGCCACAACCCCATAGACACCTTTAACTGCACTTAACCGTCCAGGGGTCCTTTACCTTTACCTTACCCGCAGAGCTACTGTTCCCAGAGCTCCCTGGGAAGAGGGATTGTTTGGGAGGATTGCTTTAAACATATGGTGGGCTTTCAGCAACACTTGGTGGTGGCAGGTTCCCTGTTTCTGCATGGAAACTAAAAGCCCAGAGAACACCATTGAACAGCAGCATGGCATGGATAGCGAGAGCACGAAAGGAGCCTTCTACCCCTTTCCTCTGCGATCCAAGATGATTAGGCTGTTCACATCGCTAAGTGAGCCCATGCTGAGGTTTCACATGCCCATATTGGCACGCACGTAGTTTCAGCCAGGCCTGCTGCTGAGCAGCTCAACAATTTCATCAGGGCAGAGCGCAGAAAATATACCAGCTCCTACAGATCACCAACACAGCCGCCTCTCATGTCCCAAGTGGCAGCCATCCTATGCAGAAGCGATTGTGCGAATGGGCCCTGAATCGCTTCATCCTTGTTTCTCTTCATGTCAAAACAGTTCCCTGGGCTTCTCTCCCAGGTTTAAATAAAGCCGTGCTGGCAGCCACCCAGTATTTGAGACAGCGAGTTAAATGATTAATGTATCTCACTGCATAAGATGCATTTACAAAAAGTAATATTTTATAAGATGCTGCCGGCTGCTTAATTATTTCCTACTCAGCTGTTCTTAATATCCCCATTTGATGTTCCTTGCAGGGTAATAATGCCTCTCCCTCTCCTGCCCTTTTCCCCTTTGCCGGCACAGTCCAGGTCAGGCTAGCCCAGGGGCTCCCAACTTCTCCATTAAAATGTGGCTCAAACTTCATTTTACAAAATATACATGCACACTTCAGTGCTCAGTACATTGTTACAGGAAAGGGAAGGGGGTGGTTTGGGTGATGCCTTTTGGATCCCCAAAAGCCTGTGAATTTATATCTGTAAGATGAGAGTTTGAAGGGACTGCTGAAGGGGTCAATCCGGTTCCTTTGTAAGATCACAGAATCATAGAATTGTAGAGTTGGAAGGAGCCCTGAGGATCATGTAGTCCAACAGCCTGTAATGCAGGAATCTCAACATATGGTCCCCATCCAACTTCCACCAGCCCTAGCTGGATCATGGATGATGGGAGTTGTAGTTCAGCAGCATCTGGAGGGCCACAGGTTAGGTACCCTTGGGCTATAGACCCCCCCTCCTCTAACCACTGCACAACAGGGGCTTTCATCATTGCATCTGATCCTCATTTGAGATGTGAAGTGCATCAGAAATATGAGGACTTTATCTGGGCTTTGATGTTCTCATGCACTGTTATATATGGCTATACAGTGGTACCTCAGGATAAGAACTTAATTCGTTCTGGAGGTCCATTCTTAACCTGAAACTGTTCTTAACCTGAGGTACCACTTTAGCTAATGGGGCCTCCTGCTGCCACCGTACAATTTCTGTTCTCATCCTGAAGCAAAGTTCTTAACCCAAAGTACTACTTCCGGGTTAGTGGAGTCTGTAACCTGAAGTGTCTGTAACCTGAGGTACCACTGTACTGTACTGCTTAGATGTGTTATTTTTAAATGTTTCTTAATTTTTGTTTAGAAAAAGATTATTAGGAATTTAAAACTCAGGAGCATCCCTCATTGTGAGATTGTCCATGGTGGGGCGTTTGACTGAACCTAGATTGTTGTGTCTCTCTCTTCCTCCTTGCCTAGGTTATTCCCAAGGACTATAAAACCATGACTGCTCTGGCAAAGGCCATCTCCAAGAACGTGCTCTTTGCTCACCTGGATGATAATGAGAGAAGGTAGGATATGATCCTCTGATTTCACCTTATTCCCATTTTGGCTATCCATTGCTAGCTGAGTGCCCATCTAGGATTGGCAACAGGAATGGATAATCAAGCTGGGTTTTAGCCGAGCAGTTGAGCAGCGGTTTATTTCACTGATTCATTTGTTAAGTTTGTGCTCTTCTTTCCACCAAGCGGTAGACATTTAAGGGTAAGATGGTCACAGTAACCTTACTTGACCATTGAGACCTCTCCAGAACTGCAGGCACTGCATTTGATTCAAATTGTCTTCTGAGGTGGATCTAAGAGAGAGCGCCCCAGTGTGGTTGCACCAGGCATGGGGCTTCTGGGGCACTGCAGCAGGAACCACAACTATGACAACCATCAGAAGGTGAGAGGCAGTGGGGGTGGGGTGGGAGGCCGCTGCCAGATTTTGGCATTTCACAGGGCGCCACTGAAATTTGAGGCGCCAAAGTCTGCCACTATTCAATGTCATCCTGTTTAGTGAGTTTGCCACAGAAACCCGGCATGCACAGCACTGATTGGCTGTGGCCTGTAGCATCATTATCCCCTAGAGAACCTTTGCAACTCTTTTAAAACTGATTGTGCTTTTTGAAAAAAAAATAAGGTGACATGCAGATGTTTAAATGAATAAAGGTATACTCAGTGCTTAATAATAATAATAATAATAATAATAATAATAAAGATGAGAGCCTGCATAAGGGGAAAGATGGCTGTAGCCCAGTTGTGGGTTCAAACCACTACTATGTCATTTACGTTGTGGATGCAGGAGGAAAACAGGCTCACCCATAGAAGAAAGATTCAGTGGGTCTCCTTTTTTAACATTCAGTTTATATACATCTGTAAGTAACGTGGTACAGCTCAGCTTTGCAGAGGGTGCAGTCCACAACCCGTTCACTGCAGAGCAGCCCAGTCAACTTTAATGGAATGCTTCCGGACTAAATAAGTTATGGATTACAGCCTAGGTTTCTTGACCTGAGCGGCGCTGCATCTTGTGAGGTGGCAGCTGGGCTTATCCTTGTCCTTTGTTTCCAGAAACAAAGGTGGTCTTTGAATCAGCTACAACAGCTGTAAGAGCCTGGTATGCCCTGTTCTGTCAGCTGCTGCGCGCGGATATTTAGACTGCCCGTAACAGAATACTTCAAGCATTTGGTAACTCCAGATGATTTTGTCATTTGTTCTTTCTTTTCTTTTTTTAAAGTGGGGCTATGCAGTATTTTAGTGGCTGGTGGTAAGGATGGATGGCAGCCACAATGTGAGTGCTTCCTGGGAAGAATTTGCATGTCTGTGCATTCCGTGTCACAGGCAGCCCTCAGGTGCTTAGGGTCGTGTCTTTGGCAGTAGACAAGCCCATTTTTTTGCAGCTGGACTGATGGACGATGAATGACTCTCCTTCACTGGAAGTTTTTGAGCAGAAGTTGGATGGTCATCTGTCGTGGAAGCTCTAGCTGAGATTCCTGCATTGCAGGGGGCTGGACCCCCTCGGGATCCCTTCCAACTCCACAATTCTATGAGGATGGTGATGTGTCCTACTTTACAGAGGAGAGTCCTCCATCTGAAAGCAATTCTCAATTTTAGGGGGGGAAAGCCTATTTATATTTTAGGGAGTATTTTAAAATTTGCACCTATACATACAAATTTTCATACATACATTTTATGCCAATCTACACAAATCTTCCCCTGTTTTTTATTTAGCAATGTGCTTTCCCCTCTTTTTAACGATGCGTAGTTAACCCACAACCAATCTGCATGGTACAATGCTGTGACATCACAGAAGGAGCATTCCTCTAAGAAATTGGCACCAAACTAGATGGAAAGCATTTATATTTTTGTGTAACGTGCAGGAGTGTGTGTGTGTGTGTGTGTGTGAGAGATTTCAATTAGGACTGCAACACTGAAAGAGGAAATTAGAAGTTGTTGTTTTACTCTTTCCATCTGCCTCGGGTTCCTGATGGAAATAAGCCCCCCTACAGCTTTTGCTTTGCTCCTCTGAGAGCCAGTGCGGTGTAGTGGTTAAGAGCGGTGGACTCGTAATCTGGTGAACCAGGTTCGCTTCCCCGCTCCTCCACATGCAGCTGCTGGGTGACCTTGGGGCAGTCACACTTCTCTGAAGTCTCTCAGCCCCACTCACCTCACAGAGTGTTTGTTGTGGGGGAGGGAGGGAAAGGAGAATGTTAGCCGCTTTGAGACTCCTTCGGGTAGTGATAAAGCAGGATATCAAATCCAAAATCATCTTCTTTTCTCCTCTGGAGAACGTTTACATGTAGGGTTCCATATTTGAGTGGGTGGGGATTGTCCTGGCAATAGCGCTGAGATCCATGCCCTTTCCTCAGATCCAAGGCTAATGGGAAGCCCAGCGATTGTTTGGCCACTTGGTTGCCGAAAAAGCCTTTGGTTGGGCACCAAAACCCCTCAGTTGCACAGTAACCAAACCAGTAAGCCCCCTCCCCCAGGACAGTTTTCCCTCCAGGGAACAGTGTGCCATAGCTCAGTGGTAGAGCACTTCCGACGTCAAGACCTGTTCGACAGAGAGATGGACTCCCTTGGAAGGTGGACTCTCTTTCATTCGAGGTTTCCACAAAGAGGTTGGATGGCCATCTGTCAGGGACTCTTTAGCAGTGTTGAGCTATAATTCCTGCATTGCAGAAGGTTAGACTAGATGATTCTTGGCATGGGATCTGGAACCCCATATCTGGGTGTTCCCTGACTTCGCATCCAGCCCACCCAATTACGTTGCATTTCACATAACTACTCCTTGTACATTTCTCAGCATGCCATTAATCATAGCACATTAAGTTTCCACAATATCTGCTCAGACATACTGCTGCTCCTGTTTTTCAGGTTCCGTTTTTTGCCATGATCTCAAATCACAGCCAGCCACCACGGTGCACATACTGCCTTTTGAGTCCCATGATTTCATCGGTGGAATTATTTTGTTCCTGCCTTTTCAGCTGAAAGATCAAGTGGTTCATGTCTGGTCATAAGAGGGTAGCCATTTTGGTCTTTGCCACCTGGTGTCACTGTGTTCAAGAAATTTGAATATACATTTACACAGTGCTCTTTTTCTATAAAAAGAGGTGCTGGAACTCACTATGAACACCTCCCTCATCTCTTAGCGTGGCAGTGGCACCCACCAGAGACATGCCGGAACTGAATTCCTGTGAGTTCCCCCTGGGGGAAAAAAGCCCCGCATAGTGTGACACTGATCAGGCAGCCAAAAAAGACAAAATCTTTAATTGTCAGAAACAGAAACATTACATTGTCGTTTAATTCACATTACGCTTCTGTTTGGTTGTAACAGAGCATCTCTAGCGGGCATAGGCAAACTTGGCCCTCCAGATGTTTTGGGACTACAACTCCCATCATCCCTAGCTAACAGGACCAGTGGTCAGGGCTGATGGGAATTGTAGTCCCAAAACAGCTGGAGGGCTGAGTTTGCCTATACCTGATCTCTGGAGTAAGAGGACAACCTGCCACTTCCAGCAGGGAAGGAGGTGGACCTGCCCTCCTTGATTTGCACAGGATGTATGGATAGCTGTTTGTATGGACACATCTGGCAGTCCCATAACTATTGGACTGCATGCACACCTGGGAACTGTAGTTTACCCCCACAGAGGTATGATTCCCAGTGCCCTTAACCAACCAGAATTCTCAGGATTATTTGGGGGAAGTCATGTGCTTTAAGTGTTTGGTATGTACCTAGCTCAGGGGTCTGCAACCCGTGGCTCCGGAGCTGCATGTGGCTCTTTTACATCTTTGCCGCGGCTCCGGGGCGGATACTAGCGAGGGGAGGAGGCGCATTGTGCGCCCCGACACTCCTCACTGTGGCAGGCGCTGTACTGGCTGTGACGTCGCAAGGGGGGGGGTGCGTGCATTAGTCACGCACCGTCCCGACGTCACCTTCCCGCCCGCTGTCAGATCGCGGCTCCAGAGATATATTTGTTTTAAATGTCACAATGGTTTTGCGGCTCCCAGTTGTTGTTTTTTCTTCGGAAATGGGTCCAAGTGGCTCTTTTTGTCTTAAAGGTTGCAGACCCCTGATCCTAGCTGCAGAGAGGGCCTTTTGTATGGTATGAACAGCATTGAAGCTACACAACTTGGCATTAATGCAGCCATAGGCTACTTGCCTTGCCCACAGTGCCAGTCTAGACCTCTGGCCAGGAAGTGCCAGCCCCACAACCGCAGGGATGGATGCTTCCACTTCCATGTTGTTTTAAAGTGGGAGGCTAAAGTCCAACAGGTGGTGATGAGGAAGACAGCTTGAAGCCACATCTGGAGAAATGTGCTTTTGCTCTGCATTCCTGCAGCTGCTTCTCCTATGTTCTTCCAGGTTGCCCTGTTTTAACATTCATCGTATGGCCTTTCCCATGATTGCAATTCCAAGTGTGCCTCTTTATTCCATGGTATATATGAGATACCCCTCCCTTCTTATGCACGCACCAGGCGATTGGATTATCACGCCTCCCCAGAGATGGGATATCTATCTATCTCTGTGTTTGACCCAGGCTGCTTTGCTGAGAGGCTGAGAACATCACTAAAACAGACCTGAGGGCTTAAATGGAAAGACGTCATACCATTGGAGGGATGGAGGAGGAGGAGGAAGTTGTACTGGCAGAAATTGTGAGGCTTTGTTTTGGAAGCTGCTCTGCCTTCTACCCAGTGGGGCAGAGGGAAAGCATGTTATGTCAAAGCAAGAGGGAGGCTTAGAATCACAGATCTGTAGAGCTGGAAGGGACCTCAAGGTCATCCAGTGCAACCCCTTGCAATGCAGGAATCACAGCTAAATAATCCTTGAAACATGGCCCTACAAACTGTGTTTGAAATCTCCTATGAAGGAGAATCCACCATTTTTCACGGTAGTCCGTATTTCTCGCTCTATAGGATGCACTTTCCCCCCTCCAAAAATGAAGGGGAAATGTGTGTGTGTCCTATGGAGCGAATGCAGGCTTTTGCTGAAGCCTGGAGAGTGAGAGGGGTCGGTGCGTTCCCGCCGGGCT